ATGACGTAAAAAGTGGTGCTATACTGTAATAAAGCGTATCATCAGTGATTATTGTTCAACATGAATTCTCTGTGCGCTTTTACACGTTTCAGCCAAGATGCGATTATTTTTAGATAGATCTCGATGCCAGCAATCAGATGGTACTATTGGATTCCGGATCCAAAGAAACAGACTGAGTAATGACGTAAAAAGTGGTGCTATACTATGATAAAGCGTACCATCAGTGTTATTCATTCAACATGAATTCTCTGTGCGCTTTTACACGTTTCAGCCAAGATGCGATTATTTTTAGATAGATCTCGATGCCAGCAATCAGATGGTACTATTGGATTCCGGATCCAAAAGAAACAGACTGAGTAATGACGTAAAAAGTGGTGCTATACTGTAATAAAGCGTATCATCAGTGATTATTGTTCAACATGAATTCTCTGTGCGCTTTTACACGTTTCAGCCAAGATGCGATTATTTTTAGATAGATCTCGATGCCAGCAATCAGATGGTACTATTGGATTCCGGATCCAAAGAAACAGACTGAGTAATGACGTAAAAAGTGGTGCTATACTATGATAAAGCGTACCATTAGTGTATCATTCAACATGAATTCTCTGTGCGCTTTTACACGTTTCAGCCAAGATGTGATTATTTTTAGATAGATCTCGATGCCAGCAATCAGATGGTACTATTGGATTCCGGATCCAAAGAAACAGACTGAGTAATGACGTAAAAAGTGGTGCTATACTGTAATAAAGCGTATCATCAGTGATTATTGTTCAACATGAATTCTCTGTGCGCTTTTACACGTTTCAGCCAAGATGCGATTATTTTTAGATAGATCTCGATGCCAGCAATCAGATGGTACTATTGGATTCCGGATCCAAAAGAAACAGACTGAGTAATGACGTAAAAAGTGGTGCTATACTGTAATAAAGCGTATCATCAGTGATTATTGTTCAACATGAATTCTCTGTGCGCTTTTACACGTTTCAGCCAAGATGCGATTATTTTTAGATAGATCTCGATGCCAGCAATCAGATGGTACTATTGGATTCCGGATCCAAAGAAACAGACTGAGTAATGACGTAAAAAGTGGTGCTATACTGTAATAAAGCGTATCATCAGTGATTATTGTTCAACATGAATTCTCTGTGCGCTTTTACACGTTTCAGCCAAGATGCGATTATTTTTAGATAGATCTCGATGCCAGCAATCAGATGGTACTATTGGATTCCGGATCCAAAAGAAACAGACTGAGTAATGACGTAAAAAGTGGTGCTATACTGTAATAAAGCGTATCATCAGTGATTATTGTTCAACATGAATTCTCTGTGCGCTTTTACACGTTTCAGCCAAGATGCGATTATTTTTAGATAGATCTCGATGCCAGCAATCAGATGGTACTATTGGATTCCGGATCCAAAAGAAACAGACTGAGTAATGACGTAAAAAGTGGTGCTATACTATGATAAAGCGTACCATTAGTGTATCATTCAAGATGAATTCTCTGTGCGCTTTTACACGTTTCAGCCAAGATGCGATTATTTTTAGATAGATCTCGATGCCAGCAATCAGATGGTACTATTGGATTCCGGATCCAAAAGAAACAGACTGAGTAATGACGTAAAAAGTGGTGCTATACTGTAATAAAGCGTATCATCAGTGATTATTGTTCAACATGAATTCTCTGTGCGCTTTTACACGTTTCAGCCAAGATGCGATTATTTTTAGATAGATCTCGATGCCAGCAATCAGATGGTACTATTGGATTCCGGATCCAAAAGAAACAGACTGAGTAATGACGTAAAAAGTGGTGCTATACTATGATAAAGCGTACCATCAGTGTTATCATTCAAGATGAATTCTCTGTGCGCTTTTACACGTTTCAGCCAAGATGCGATTATTTTTAGATAGATCTCGATGCCAGCAATCAGATGGTACTATTGGATTCCGGATCCAAAAGAAACAGACTGAGTAATGACGTAAAAAGTGGTGCTATACTGTAATAAAGCGTATCATCAGTGATTATTGTTCAACATGAATTCTCTGTGCGCTTTTACACGTTTCAGCCAAGATGCGATTATTTTTAGATAGATCTCGATGCCAGCAATCAGATGGTACTATTGGATTCCGGATCCAAAAGAAACAGACTGAGTAATGACGTAAAAAGTGGTGCTATACTGTGATAAAGCGTACCATTAGTGTATCATTCAAGATGAATTCTCTGTGCGCTTTTACACGTTTCAGCCAAGATGCGATTATTTTTAGATAGATCTCGATGCCAGCAATCAGATGGTACTATTGGATTCCGGATCCAATAGAAACAGACTGAGTAATGACGTAAAAAAGTGGTGCTATACTGTAATAAAGCGTATCATCAGTGATTATTGTTCAACATGAATTCTCTGTGCGCTTTTACACGTTTCAGCCAAGATGCGATTATTTTTAGATAGATCTCGATGCCAGCAATCAGATGGTACTATTGGATTCCGGATCCAAAAGAAACAGACTGAGTAATGACGTAAAAAGTGGTGCTATACTGTAATAAAGCGTATCATCAGTGATTATTGTTCAACATGAATTCTCTGTGCGCTTTTACACGTTTCAGCCAAGATGCGATTATTTTTAGATAGATCTCGATGCCAGCAATCAGATGGTACTATTGGATTCCGGATCCAAAAGAAACAGACTGAGTAATGACGTAAAAAGTGGTGCTATACTGTAATAAAGCGTATCATCAGTGATTATTGTTCAACATGAATTCTCTGTGCGCTTTTACACGTTTCAGCCAAGATGCGATTATTTTTAGATAGATCTCGATGCCAGCAATCAGATGGTACTATTGGATTCCGGATCCAAGAAGAAACAGACTGAGTAATGACGTAAAAAGTGGTGCTATACTGTAATAAAGCGTATCATCAGTGATTATTGTTCAACATGAATTCTCTGTGCGCTTTTACACGTTTCAGCCAAGATGCGATTATTTTTAGATAGATCTCGATGCCAGCAATCAGATGGTACTATTGGATTCCGGATCCAAAAGAAACAGACTGAGTAATGACGTAAAAAGTGGTGCTATACTGTAATAAAGCGTATCATCAGTGATTATTGTTCAACATGAATTCTCTGTGCGCTTTTACACGTTTCAGCCAAGATGCGATTATTTTTAGATAGATCTCGATGCCAGCAATCAGATGGTACTATTGGATTCCGGATCCAAAGGCAGCAGAGAAAAAGCGGAGAATGCAAAAAAGAGCAAAACGGCAAACCAAAAAAGGGGGAGCCAGAAAAAAAATAAAAAAATCGCAAAAAAAAAAAGGAGAAAAATGGGCGCAAGGAAGGCAAACGCGGCGCACGCGCAAAACGGAGACTACAGAACGGGGGGGGCAGGGGGCCAAAAACAGCGCAAAATACTACGGAGGCGGCAAAGGGAAATAGGGGCAAAAACTGGACAACTGGGTGAAAACACCTGCTCAACTCCTGCCCGATGTCAAAAAAAATTTTGCATATCACTCCGCGTTATGGATAGTGGTTTATATTAATAACACTGGTATAAGAGTGGTAAATTAAACAATTTCTGTGAAAGAAAATGCTATATAATTTCCCAAGCTCAGCATCTATACTAGCAATTCTGGGGCACATTTCCGTTATCCGAAAATTTCCATCCTTTTAAAACAGCGCGTTTTCCAGTATTCTCTAGAACTTTAGTAGTGAACGTCGGATGGTATGATTGTCGACAATTCTGATGTTGTACTTCATTCCTGGCCTTTCCAATGCGCTGTAGCAGCAAAAATTAAATCAAATTTCACGCTCGGCGCGCACTTTCTTGTCGGCTCGGGTGCGTGAGCGGCTATGCATCGATCGCGAGCTGTCGACCAATCGAACAGCGCGCGATTTTGTTAGTAAGAGTTTTGCTGGCCCTGGAAATAAGCTACAGAAAGCATATGGCACCGATACGCCAAGGTTTCCTCTAAACGTTCATATGCTTTTCGTGTATAGGCTTAGGTGTAGCAATGACTTATCTGTCAATTTAAAATGGAATTGAAAATCTTGACGGTTCTAACGTTGCACCTCCCTGTACTATTTTCGCTGCTATAGTGTGCTAAAAAGGTTCTCTCAACAACATAAACACAGATCGCCAAAATTCACGCTATCGAATGATTACTAACAGTCCAGTGGAAAGCTCAGTTCAGTGACAAAAACCCCAAAACCGGGACCTTAACTTTATTTTTGCTGCTTTAGCGCACTGAAAAGGCTATTTCAGAGATGAAGTACAATAAGACTGTCGAGATGTAAGCTATAGGAATAACTATTAAGACTCTAAAGAAAGAAGAGAACGCTTTGGCCTTTTAAAAGGCTGAAAGAGATTACAAATACCGGAAAGGTACCCAAGTTCTCAACAGATCAATTGAAGACGGAGATAAGACTTGATAGCGAAGTTCTTCCAAACAGCACACTTTCCCTACTAATTATGACAGTGGTGAATGCGACAATATCGATCTCCTTCGCTTATGTAAAAAACCAGTAAGCTACAAGCAAAGTGGACTATAACAGCAGTAAAGTTCTCTCAACTTACTTCACAATCTCGAACTGAAGACGTTATGAAGTAATTAGAGAACCTTATCTTCATAACTGTATGATTAAAACCATAAACAACGCCTCCTCATCCCCGCTTTAGAGTAGGATTTAGCATGGGCATGGGCCACTGATGAAGAGGGCGACACCCTCCGCTACGTACGTATGGATCTGGTGTAACAAAATCGGTAAGGCCCCTAAAATTCTTACAGGACATATTGTACGGTTATGACCTATCTTATAACCAGCGGTAATGCTTTAGTAATGCTACTACCACCACGGCTTCTGTTCTGCTATCACTTTTTCCTGCGACACGGATTTGTTAACAATCGACCATCAATGGATTAGCCTGATATGCACATGTCGGATTTCTCAGTTACGCTAACAGCTACTGGATATATTGGATATAAGAAATGATAGCAGGAAAAAGGACCCCTAGTGGCGCAGCGGTTAGCACGCGTTCCTGGAAAGGGTGAAACAAGGGTTCAAACCCGCCTAAGGTTCAAAGTTCAGCATATCACTCAACATCATCGTTATTATTAGCTAAGAAGCTTACTGGATAAAGAATCTTTGATGATTACTTATAAATGACAAGCACTATACCGATTCATTAGCTGGTCGGCTTCCGCGGACCCACGCTAGGTGGTTTCTACCGGCGTGGGTCCGCAGAAGCTAACTGCTTGAAAATGTCCAAACGAAAAACAGCCTTTATTCAGTACTGCAAGTCTCTTCAAGCACAGTACCACATTTATCCGCCTCCTTTTGGTGCGAAATTGTCTCCAAATCACTGCGGTGTTCTCACCTTTTTCAAAAAAACTAGAGTAGGATAGCTAAAAATCTATAAGCTTTCGGCGTTGATCAAACCCTGAAAAAATAAGCTATGCATTCGAATCCATTCGAAGCATCGCAGAGCTAGACTGAATGCATATCAGGCCTTCACATTACTCGCAGTGGTCTGATTTATTATGTTAGTGCTCCTATTCTCCGAGGCAAATCTGATAGCTAGATCACCAAACTCGGAGTTTTAGAAGGCTAGGTGAGCATTAAACACGGAATCGAACCATCAACCACCGACTAATGGACCACGTTTGTCGCAGAGTGCTCTCTAGCCACTACGCTACCACGCGCTCAACGGCAATGAAGTAGAATAGGAAGAAAGGAGAGGTCCACAAAAAACCAAAAAAGAACAGTCCAAAGTCTAGGTTTACAAGTATAAGAAGTGCTTCTCGAATAAGCAGACCTTCATGATTCCAACGACTTCGTCGACTTGGGCCTGAGTCTGCTGTAAGCGCTTATTCGATGGTCGTGGTCCTTGACTTCCTCCCGCGGCAGCTCCTGCATCTCCTTGACCTGAAGAACAAATAAAAATGAAGGCTATAAATAATAACAATATCAGATATCAGCGCTGAGAGATATTAAAACGACAGGGAAAGGACACAGACGCCTCCAAGGCGGCAAAAACTCATCGAGTGTAGCAAGCAAGAGGCATAAGAAAGCCTATGATGGCTCTGTTACGTACAGATCAAGTAGAAATTCAAACTAACCTTCCATTTTTTTCCTCTATATATGCAAAAAAACACCGAGTAAAACTGGAGGCACTTTTACCTGAAAAGAAAGAAAAAACTGGACGGGAAAATTCTCGGCATAAGCATAAATGAACAGCGAAAACCATCTCGGTTGCTACACGACAACAAATCAAATGACGGTAGTGAGGAGCTGAGACGATGAAAACAAGAAAAAGATGATACACTACGATACTTTGAGCAGAGAGAAGAAATTAACCCTACGAGTACCAGTGTTGATAGGTTGGCGGAGCCGCGCCGTCGCTTTCCCGCCGCGACGCGATGCCGCCATTACAGTAGCTGAATGAGATTTGACGTCGCGCGGCCCGTTCGGTCGTTAAAGGGTTACCCCACCGGGACGACGTGTATCCAAAGAGACACGCGATTCTCAAGAGGTCATTTTCGCTGAGAAGAAGCTTTCCTCTTGGGCATTCAGTAGCTATTCGAAAGTTAAGATCTCGGCGTGTTTGATCTCTAAAATATGTTTCTTATGGCGCTTTACTAACGAAAATAATATCAGATTTCACAATTGGTTTCTTTGTTTGCTCAGCTGGGGTCTATGGACGACTAATCGCTGGACTTCTGCTCGTCATTCAATAGCTAAATCTCGACAACTCCGATGCTGCAATTGGTTTCCCAAAAAAGTTTCCACAGAACGGTGTAAGAGTGAGAAGAAAATTACGTCTTGTACCTGGAAATTTTTCGTATAGAAGAGTTATTTAAACACGCAAAGCATATGACCATCCAAAGAAAAACATTGAGTCTCAGAAAAACACGAAAAACCTGAAGTTTTTTTCTTCAAAACTATGAAAAAAATCCTATACAAATAGGTAAGTCGCGTGTCGCTGCGCGAGCGATTGTGCGGTGCAATCGGTCGATCATCCGCCGTCCCCAAAGGGTTGGTCCCTTGGCGACGAACGAAAGACGAGCCATAAACGATTCATGTCCGCTGCCAGGGGGTTAAAATGAGTAAGGTCATGAGAGTGACCTACAGGTGTCTGTGATCAAATGGCTTTCCGCTGGAAGCAGAATGCTGTCAATCACTTCGGGGGCAATTCTTGTCAACGAAAAATAATTAGAAGAAGGAAAAAAACCACTTATCACAGACTCTTTTCTTCGCGCCTGTTTTCTAGAAAACTCTCAGAAAAAGATGGTAAAATTCCTAGAGATTCCTCCACCCCCTCACCCCCCTAAAAAAATTCCTGGATTCTGACGCCTTTAATTCGAAAAAAGTGCGAAAGTGAAAGTGATTTTATTTGAGCTCCCATCCTTTGTGGAATGAGTAGAGAGTCTCAGAAAAGTATTTCTGACTTCGCGACTTCGAAGAGGTGGAGCTATACTCACTGCTTCGATAGCGGTAGGGGGGAGGGAAATAGGCGAAACAAATCTCCTTCTTGAAAGTCGAGAAATCGGGAGGAAATGCTTGTTTGGGGCTTTTCTTGCAAGCCACTAAAGATGGGAGCTTTCATCTGATTACTGTTGCTACTGTTACTTAAATTAAAAGCGCTAAAAACAACTCATAAAGCAATATATTTCAAAATTCTGAGCGCCGAGGCCGAGTGGTTGTGATGCTCGTGGTGCCGCGCGTGTGGGAGACTGATCCCAGCTCCCTGCACTCTGCAGGCAGTCAGCAGCGAACAAGCACTATTCTACGACGTTAAAGAAGAAGAACAGACGAATTGATTGCTAGAAGTCTAAATCTGCACGGTGAGAAGTGGCTAGCAGTACTATATGCTGGAGTATATATTCAGGAATGTTGAGTGATATGCAAAACATTGGACCTAGGCGGGAATTGAACCCGCGTCTCACCACAGCTTCTCGGGGCCTCCTTTTCCTTTCAACATAGTGCGGCATGCGGAAACCAGGAGACGCGAGTTCCACTCCTGCCGAAGTCAAAACCTTGATAAATCACTCATCATTCCCGGACATATAGAACAAACTATTCTCAATCTCTGATGCCGTATTTTACTAGGACAAAAATACACTAGTTACCAGCTTTTGACCAATGACAAGGACATCAGTCGTTTTTAGCGCACCTCTCGCTGTCTCGGCGTAAAAATGTAGAGAGAGAGGTGAGCTAAAACGTGGCACGCCATTGTCAAGGTGTCAAGGTAATTTCGATCTAATGTTGGGTCAAGCTTCGGCTGAGTTCACTATGAAAGGACTGGCGATCACCATTTTACCGTGATGCTTGGGGGCTTGGCTCTTTGTCAAGACATCCGTTACTTGCGAAAAAAAAGAGCAGGATGATGAACTGACATGCTTTTCAACACAAGAAGCTATTTGATAAGCTTCAAAGCACCATTATACGCGCAAAGAAAAAAGAAATTAATGAATATAAAAAAATTAAGCCAAGCATACGAGAATCCACAATCAATCACACTGAAAAAACATCGCGTTTAGTGGTTTTTTCACCTTACGCAGAACGTAACATGTACGGCGTCGATTTCCTATGATGGGAGAGGGGGCGAATAGCCGAGTTGCATAACAGACCTTGATATTAATTGTTCCAAACGAAAAGAAAAAATCTGGCCGACCGCTTCCTTCGTCTTAGAGATGATCAGCCTAACTTTTGAAGGTACATAAAACTGCTCAAGATAGGACTTAGTGGCAATATAGACTTCTGGTTACTCCCTTTAGACGGTAAATCACTCCATTTAGACGGGTGGGTCCTACCACTCTACGGGTACCTCCATATAGACGCGGGGGTCCTACCACTCTACGAGTACCTCCATACAGATAGGTGGATCCTATCACTAGGGGGTTCCGTCCATCCAGACGGATAGGTGTCCCCGATATAGACGGGTCGGTCCTACCACTCTACGGGTACATCCATATAGAAGGGTGGGTCCTACCACTCCACGGGCACCTCCATATAGACAGGCGGGTTCTACCAGTCTACGGGTCCCTCCATTCAGAAGAGTAGGGTCCTATCATACTATAGGTCCCTCTCCATTTTCCATATCTTCATTAAGAAGCCGCAGCAGCTTCTCACTACTGCTGGCTACAAGAGTTTCCAGAAAAATACCAGATTATATCGATCAGAAAAGAAATCAATGTTTCCAACAGGACAGAAAAACACGGCAGGAGAGGGCAAACGAGAGAGAGAGACCTTGCTTGCGATTGATCGATCAGTTGAATCGCTCGACGATCAACAACGACGAACGGACAAACTGTGGGTCGTCGCGCCGACCGACGTATTTGAGATCGGAAAACCTCAACCTGTTGTTCAGTAACCACTGGAATGAGCTCTGTATAGAGTGCGAAGCAAATTTACTAGGATATTTGTCTCTAAAGTAGTTAAAATATCTATTCTTGGCAACATCGGTGAATTCAGTAAATTATGAAGTAAATAGTAAATAAACAAGCAATAAACCAAACGATAAGTAGACTCAAATGGTATAGATACAATCTGACACAAGTCCATCTATCCAAAAACCAACGGCACTGGTTGGGAGCACGTAAGTGAGCATGGAAACCATTGCCTTCCACCCCAACCCCAGGGGGGCGGGGTAGGGGAACCCTGCATTGTGGTGATTTGACGCAGACTTTCACGCAGAACGGAGCTCCTTCTCCGAAAAAGACTCACCATAGCTATGGACTAACAAACCCCGGATGGAAATGAATGGTACTGGTTCGGAGTATGCAAGTGAGCATGGATACCCATCGCCTCAACCCTGACCATTAGAGCAACGTCAACATGGTAGCGGTGGTGGTGCGTGATGATGTGCCTCACTGACTTTCGCGGAAGACATAACTCCTCCCGCAAAGGGACTCACAGTAACTATGGGCTAACAAACCCCGATAGAAATAAATGGACGTTGGTTTGGAGTACAAAGTGGGCATGGGAACCCATTAACCCAACCCCAACCCATTGAAGAAGGGAAAGAGGAAGGATAAACAGATGGTGGTGATGTGCCCCACTGATATTCACGGAGAAG